TAGGCCCGAGGTTCTCCCTGACCTCATCAAGTAGCCAGAAGGTAGATAGATGGAATGATGGGCTTCTCAGGATGAAGCGAGGATGTTGGCTGTAGACGTGAGGAATTTGCATGTAAGGACCTGTCTCTCAGGCTCGCTCATGTCCAGCTCACTGGTACACGGCCTGAAACGCAGAAAGGTCTCTGTGTTTGCACTGCCAGTAAACACACACTGCTGCCTTATTCCCAGGGGGGTGTCACGCCGCAAAAACAATATTACGACAACCGCCCGCTCCACGTGCCAAATTTACAAACTTGAAAATATTAAATGGAATGCAATTCAACAAATTTCCCTAAATATTGGGGGAAAAATTTTTTCGAGACACATCAGCACCCTGTTGACACTGTAAACATTTGTTGTAATGTCACTAAACCATGCAACAGGCAAACTACCAGTCAGATGTTGCACGGACGGCATGGAAAGCCTCCTCTCGGGCCTGACCGGGGTTGCAAAAGTGCTGGGTTTGACATGTGCTTACCAATGGGCTGGCAGGCTTGTAGAGTATAACACATGCTGACAGCCACCCTGCTCTCAGGAGAGAGGGCGAGATCCCCGTCTCCAGCCTGATGCCGAGCAGTTATGTAACAGAGGGAGGGCAGTACATACAGAGAGGGAAGTCACTGAAAAGAGGCTTCACGCCCTTTCAAGAGCACAATAGAGAACACACTGCCTACAACACTGCCCCCAGTGGAGGAGAGAGGCATCCTCCTGTGTCAGGGCATTGCTAGCCTGCATCCCTCTTTGTTTACCCTATGGAACACCACAACAAAGAAGGGGTGGGAGCCTTGTACCTCGTGGGCTGGAACAAAGAAGCTTGTCAATAGCCCCATTCTGTGTCGTCAGGGCTCTGCTTACAGTTCGCATTTTATTTGGCTTTTGGATTAATTTAAGCGGCCCAGGTCACTAATGGTCCCCTAATTACTCCCAGACTACTAACACCACCGTCTGCTTCACTGGGCAGGATGAGGAGCTTTGAGAGCATCTGTTTTGGCAGGAGAAATCCATAAATACAGAGCAGGATCACGGGCCCCCACTGTCCCCTGAGGTGCAGCCTAACGGATGACACGGGGAATGTCTGCGTACGTGAGGCGAAGACTGAAAGGAAGGAGGGGGAGAAAAAAGAAGGGAGGAGAGGTGAAGAAGTCAGGAGGCAGCTGGAGCAGGGAAGCTGTTCTCCACAGACCACACAATCTGCAGGGTCTGAGGGGATTACCCAGGATCCTCCCGTGGCCTGGTCCTGGGCTCCGGGGATCACCCAGGATCCTCCCGTAGCCTGGTCCTGGGCTCCGGGGATCACCCAGGATCCTCCCGTGGCCTGGTCCTGGGCTCCAGGGATCACCCAGGATCCTCCCGTCGCCTGGTCCTGGGCTCCAGGGATCACCCAGGATCCTCCCGTGGCCTGGTCCTGGGCTTCTCCACAACTATTACTAACTCTACTAACAAATGCTTTTTTGGAAACACATCAAGGTATTTCTCAGGCTGTACTTATAGCAAGACCGTTGTCTTTAATTAAATTATTGACTGAACTGCAAGAAAAAACTTTGCTGTTTGTAATAGCACAGCTATCAGGGGGATTTAACAGAAACTGGTTCACACTAGAAACTCATTTGTCCTTTAACGGTTACGACATAGAGGCACAATGTCCTTTCGGGGGGGGGGAGTTTCATAGGCAACAGCCTGAGATTGAGGAAATGCTTTGGGCGGCTCAGGCCTCTGTTTACCCACCAAGGAACAAGTCCCATCATGCTCTCCTGAGGAACAAAGCCGCAGTGAAACAGACGATTGTTGCCGATCCAGATGGGACGGTGTCATGTGTCGCAGGTGAGGCTGATTAGCGGACTCGGGCAGGGAGCGGAGGTACCGACACCGAAAACTGGGTCAGCAGCGGATCGGTGCTGGGTCAGCGTAAGCCAGAACCGGGTCATCAGGAAGGGCTTCAGGTCTGGCTTTGTGGTGAAATGGTGATTAACCTCAATAGCTGAATATTATTATTGCATCCAATTCTTGTGGGCTACAGACATTCAGAGGATCATTGTTTACATTTGTTCTGTTTGTATGTGCAGCAGAGAGACTGGGAGTAATGGCCTGGCTCACAGGGTTTATTCGGATAGGTCAGAGGGCGAACCGTGTATTTACATCTTGGTCAGGTTATTTCCCAGTCATTCCATGAGAGTGCCGAATAAATTTCCTCATTCCATTCACTAGAATCCTTGTCCAGCGTATCTCTCTGCCATACAAGCTTTCCACACATTGCAACAGGGAGACAGTCAGCGACTATTAGGTTAAAAGCCTGAGATAAGGCTAAAAGTAAGATATTTCTGTGAATTATCTGTTTGTGCCACTTCCCGGTTCACTATCCAAAACCATTGTGAGGCCTTAGTTCGTTTTGGCGATTTATCTTGAAACAAACAAACCCGTGAGCAGAGTGTGGCAGTGTAGTGGACGGCCAGTGTGAACCACAACTGGCTCTCATTCCCAGCAATGACAGGAAGGAGCTCAGCGCCAAACCCAGCACCTTCACCCACCTGTCCGTGTAAAGTCTGACACCTGGCTACTAAAAACGGAGTCCAGGGTCCCCCTCCCTCTGGAATCACATGCTATTGGCTCCTACTCAGGAGATCACAAGTTCAGAAGAATGGCAACCCCCAAACTGGCACACCTCATCCTGCCCCCCCCCCCGCCACCAAAACAAAGGCACTATTGTCAAACATTGTGTCCAGGATTAGTGCTCATCCATTTGTTTTGTTCGGATGTTTATTCTTTATCTGCTGTTCACCAGAGCTCAGGTACCTTGTGGCCATTTTTTCTACAGTTTTGTTCAATTGTCGTGACAAAATCAATCCAGCTTTTTTTGTTTCCAAACTTGCAACATTGTTTTCCTCACTGACAAACCATGAAGCTAATGCAGATGATCGTTGTGAAACATTTGATCCTGTCCTTTCAATGCAACATTTTGCCTGATCACTACCACCCTCACATCTGTGCTGTTTATAAAACAAACGTTCTGCCTTCCATGACGGCGTTTCAGGCTACAAAGTGCTTTCCCTCTAACACTCAACTCAGATCCATGTTACACATACAGGGAGGGGGGTGACATCAGTAGAGCTCATTGTCATTGTCGAGTGAGTTTCTGTCATAAAAGACGCCATTGAAAACGACTCCATGTCATTACGATGATGTAGCACAGAAATTCTCCATGTGTCAATGAATATGCTGTTAAATTGACACCCTTCTTTATAATCTGTTGGAAACAAATGAAAAAAATCTTATAAAAAATGAAAGTAAAAAATGTGCCCATAGCAATGTGATGATACAATCTTATAAAGGAACAGCTGGTCTTTCAACTTTGGACTGTTATGATTAATCAGTTTCGGTCACTCTTTGTCCAAACGGCTTAGTTAGCGATTTTTCCTTTTTGTCCATTTATGCTTCTCTTCCATCCATTTCCTTAGGAACTGGGAGATTTGCAGACCACAAAGAGGGACATGAACTTCTGCAGTCCAGTGGTGGGTTTCTCAGCATATATTTGTTTAGCGTGGTGGTAGAATATTTACTACCCTCTTCAGGGACCTCACATACAAAGCAATGAAAATAAAAGGAGGTACTAAATCAGTGTATACCCAGCAATATATCTGCATTCCCTACAAGGGAAGACAGTATGTACAAGGACCAATGAGTTCAAATCGTATCCTAAAGGTGCCCAAATCTATCCTGTGGAGCCCTTAACCCCCAGAGCTCTCAGAAAGTATTTGTGGAATTTACAATTTCCCCACAAAGTTCATCCCATTATTAGGGGATCCTCTGGGAGTTTGGTTTTGATGACAGAAGTCTAACTGACCGAACCAAGGCAAAGACTAAACATTTCATCCCGGCATGTTAGGTCCAAAGGCTGGTGGGACATGGCCAGCAGAAAATTCCCGGCGTGTTTACATTCTTTCAAAACAGCACAACCTTTGCCTTCTGGAGGGCATAGCCAATGGGATGCTGTGGGGGGTCATTGCCCAGCCTATTCCCACTCGCCGTGCCAGACAAGCCAATCTCTGGACCTTATCACCGAAATACCGACAAGGAGTGAAGTTGTGCAGTGCTATAGCTGGGGACAGGCTTTTGGGGTCAGATCGAGATTAAGCCCCGACACACATGGGGCCACATCGACACACAGCCGGAGAAAGAAGTCCAGCCCCCTTTGTCTCATACCTGAATGCCTTCCTCCTGACATCACCAGCAGCCACCTCACAAAAGTGGTCCAGCATGGAGGGTCCATCGCCCCCCACACAACACTGATTAAAACCAGAGCTTGAGTCAGGCCAGAGAGGGTCACTAAACACATGCAACTGAAACAGGACACTAGATAAACGCCAGTCCGACGTGGCAGTCCCTACTGCGGTGTCAATGGGCTGGGGAACTACACGTCAGGCTAATTGTTTTTATAGACATCATAGGCATGCACGTCCGCTTTTAAAGGCATTATATCACACCACCGCAATCATAGTGTATAAGATGTGGTGTGCACAGCTCATTTCCTACCGTGAACGGGCTTGCCCTGCCGATTCACTCTTTATCACAGGGATGATAAAGGATGGAGATGAATGAGAAGCCACTTCTCTGTAAAGATACTGCCATGTCTATCCAAGGGCAGTTTGGGTGTTGAGAGTGATCGGCTCTCGTCGGAAGTGCGTGATGAGACGTGTGACAACACCCGCAGACACAGCAACACCTTAGTACTTAAACTGCCCGCCAACAAGCCTTCAGGTGAGAGAAAATGTATGGTGCATACATTTCATTTTTTTGCCAATGCGCGTCGAGCACAGCAGCAACGGGACCTGCACAAGCAACATTTCACATTGCTGAGGATAGGAAGGGACTCCGTCTCGCATTCATTCCCATCCACGCCCACCACGCTTAGACATCAGACATTACGTCCAACAGAAAAGTCAGGGAGGATCAGACAATTTTTCCTTTCACGCAGGGTGGAAACTTTCATTTGCACCAGTTTAAAAAAGACTGTTGTGGGGGGGGGGGGGTACCAGCTCTCCAGAGCACCAGCACAGGAGCTGTCCGAGCCTCAGTCAGCACCATACGGCGGGCTAATCCAATCAAGGGCCCAAGGGGGGCCCCGTGTCTCACTGCCCGGCAGATACTCGGCAGAGAGATGACAAACAAACAGCCGTGAGGAGAACAGGGTAAGAAAAATACACCGTCTACTAACAATTTACTCCAGTACCAAAGGTAGGCCATCAGCCGCTGTCAGAAAGCATAAGTGGGATCAGGCAGAGACGTCTCAGTCCTCGCCTGAGGTGGAGCCCAGCGTATGTTAATCCCCGGCAAAGTCGGGCTCAGCCGAGGGCAGACTGGCTAACACGTGCAAATGCGCTACGCAGAGTGTGATGTCTTCCCTTTTATTTCACTTGGTTGCCTAACAGAAGCTTCTATAGAGAGCAAGTGAAAGAGTTTCTCACTTTTTCTTTCATTTTACCTAAAAATAGAGACAGTTGCATAATTTAAATACCAGCAAAAAAAAATTCAGGGCACTTCTGAGGAACAGGCAGGAATCTTGATAAATCCGTAACCCACCGTAAACACATACTTCACATGCATGCTATCAGTTATCTCTGGAATAGCTCGCTTAAATGTGCGTTAAACATTTGCAGAGTAATCCAGAAAGAGCAGGAATTTGACTGAATCCATTCATACGCTCATTAGAGACAGCAGGTCACAGAGCGACATCCAGCTACAGTATGTATGGAGAGATTAAGCTCCGGTTCACAAACATCTCTCATATCAGTGCAACGCAGAGGGTTTACCTGCGTGGTTCCCTAGTAACAGGTTGGCTCAGAACAAAGGGCTTCAGGCAACATGAATTCACTAACAGCACCAAACTTAACTCAGGGAAAAACAAACAATAAAAAGACTCTCACGCTCACCTCAGCAGGTTCTGCAGACCTTGCTTGCTGGAGTTTCTTCTCACGAGAGCGCTTGCCATGTCTGTCTGCCCTTTCTCTCCCTTCTAGCGCTATGAGAATATCCGAAACCCACTGCTTTTCTGCAAAAAAGGGGCCTTTTCCCCTTAATCCTTCCAAAGAGCAATATGGGGTTTCCTGGAAGGATCTGTGTATTTGTCTCTCTCTCTCTCTCTCTCTCTCTCTCTCTCTTGTTCCCTCCCTCAGAGCCCAGCACACACACAGAAACACACGAGGCTGCCTTTCAGATTCTCTCCCTTCGCCGTCTGGCAGAAATGTCAGGCGTGAGTTTCTGTGCGCTCGCTCTTCTCAGTGGTACAGCCTTCAGTCGATGCCCTGTCTCCCTGCTCTGCATGTGGTTCTCATTGAGTGCTCCAAAAACCTGGGTCTGCGAGTGCCTTCCCCCCTTCCCTGATGGAGTCATGTGACTTTTCCCTGGGGGAGACGTAAGATGACACTCCCCCAAAATCAGCACCAAATCAGTCCGACAGGCTCCACCCCCCCTCCCCCCAACAAGCTCCTTAGCCTAACAAAAGCACAGAAACAATTGGAAGCAATTCCTGTCTTGTAACAAACAGACACTTTTGGTGAGCAATGCATGTACAATGAAATCAGGGTTCAAGGGACATTTATCACATTTTATACTTTTGAATACTCTTTTGTTGTGTTTTCATTAAATTTTTCAGCTTAGCAGTTTTCTTTAGCACATTTCTTTCATTTTGAAGAGTGAAGTAGTATATTTACGCTAGAAAAATACCAAAACACCATTAAATAAGTACATAAGGTTGGTATTATCAAATCATTCACAGGGCAGATAAAGATTCTGTATGTTTCCAGAAATCAACATCTATTAGTCCACAGAGCTCCAGTAAAAATATTCCGGTAAAAAAAAAATCTCTAGCTGCCAAAACATAAGCACAGCAATTCCAGACAAAGGACATACTGCAAAGTAATTAAAAGATGCTATAATAGCTGAATGAGTTAAATACAGGGGGAAATGACGATGGGATTTAAATAAATAATTGCAATATCTATAGTCATCTATCAATCCATCCATGCATCTTCCATATCCTCCTGAGACCCGACCTATTCATTTATGTCCATTGTAGTGGACATTGTATTTTTGCATATATTTTTTCACTGATGTTGGGAAACGTATTTATTCTTGTTGTGCACTAAAGAGGACATGCTGTGAAATTAAAATAAGAAAAAATTGGAAAAAATCTAAATTGTAAGATGTCTTATTTCCTCCAAAGACAAATAACCTACAATTGAAGGACACTTTTTTCCTTGGGTCTCAGGAGGATATGACTGTTCAGTGCAGGGTCACAATGAGTCTATAGCTTATCCCAGGAAACACAGGGGCAGTGGCAGGGGAAATCCAGGCCATCACAGGGCACACGCTGTGGGTAATTTAGAAATACCAATTCACCAAACTGCATATTGCATCAAACTGCTTTTTCAGGTTGCAGCTGACAAGCCATGGTGTCCAGAGACCACCCACACCAACTCCACGCTCAGAAGCAGGGGTGGGAGAAGAACTTCTAGTATGATTCATTAAAACAGTCTTTTTCAGACTGATCCCTGGGACCCCCAGATGGTCCACATTTTTACTCCTACCCCCGCTCCAAAAAATGTGGACCGTCTGGCAGGGAGCAAAAACGTGGACCGTCTGGCAGGGAGCAAAAACGTGGACCGTCTGGCAGGGAGCAAAAACGTGGACCATCTGGCAGGGAGCAAAAATATGGACCGTCTCGGCGTCCCCAAGAACCAGGTTAGGAAACACTACATTATCAAAGTGCTTGGTTTTGTTCCTTTACTTTGATTATAACATTTGGTAAAGAACGTCTGCATTGGGGAATACAATGGGATCAACGGGCTGGTGCCATTTTCACATACCAGTAGATTACATGATGGTTAAATACAGTGGGATCCCAGGATCTGTGCTTTCGGTTATCTGTAGTTCACCACAGTCCAAAAAAAAGTAAAATTCCAGAAATAATCAATTCATAAGTTTCTAACTGTGTGCCAGGCAAGTACAGGCTGTAACATGGTGAAATTCACCCGTCCTTATCTCTTTGTTCCCATACCCACGGTTCCCTGCAGAACTCTCATCCAGTCTGCCTCTAGCATTCTCATTGATTGCATTCGTTCCCACGTAATTGCAGTATCTGTGTTATAAAAATGTATTAAAAAAAAAGATTTTAATTGCTCCATCATCCCTTGATATATGATATTTTTTCATCGATCTGTTACCTCAAGCTAAAACACCAGAACCCTTTTCATTCAAGAGTGAAGTACTGTATACTAATGTACAAAGTACTTTATTATTACTGTATCTAACATTGGTAATGTGTTACTGTGCGTAATTTATTAATTAAACTTTACCATATGTGTATACACAAAAATGATGTTATGTATGAGGTTTGCGGATAGTTTGCTATTATCTGCAGTTTCAGCCATTGGTGGTAGGTGTTGGAACGTATCACCTGTGGACTGCAGTGTTGGGGAAGTTACTCACAAAGATAATCCATTACAGCCCGAGATGGGAAGTTCAGGTCCAGAATGTACAAATCCAGACAAAAGTTTCATTTCAACCAACCAATTCAGTATAAAGAGTCACAGTCACAGAGCACTCAACTGGTTGGTTGAAACGAAACCTTGATCTGGATTTTTACTTCCTGGATCTGAACTTTCCATCTCAGTCTCTAATGGATTACGTTTGTGAGTAACTTCCTCAACACTGCCTGTGGATATGGGGGAGTACTGTAAGATTAAGATTAAAGATTGAGGTGGACTTTCAGGGGTAAATTCTGGAATTAAAGCACTAAGAAGAAGCATATCCTGCTGAATATCTGAAAATCTTCCAAAACAATTATACTTACTGTAGAGTATCACTTTAGAGAAGGACAGACCTCACTGTCTTGGTGGGGCTTCCTTGTATTAGAGGTAAGTGGTGTTAAGATGGTTAGTCATACCCAGGGAAAGCATAGGGATGGTTTTATTCCAGCTGCTGCCCGGAAGACTGATACTCAGCCACATGTGTTCAATTTTTAACGGTTTTCCAGACACAAACAAAAACATGCATATGTCTGGTCCTTCATTCCCATTCCTTCGAAACTAGTGGTTATAGTAGCCTTGTCCGCACCAGAGCTCACAGCTGGGCAGATGATAAGCTCAAAAACTGACAGCTAAGTCCCACATCTACAGGGGAGGAACAGCTGTCAGTCAACACCAAGCCTCCAGAGATACAATGGAGAGAGAGTCCACTTTTGACAAGCACACCCAGGGGGGAGGGAAACTGGATCCTCAGAGGCGAATGAAAAGGATGAATGTTTGGAGACAAAACCCTCCACTGTCGAGTTCCTTTGAGTGCCCCCACAAACTTTCCCATAACCCTCCGAGACTCTTCCAGGATTCCGCACCTCACACTTAGATCCAGAGACGATAAATGTTGAGAAGGAAGAGTCTTAACAGCGTGGTAAGAGGAGGCTTCTTCTGTAACCACTAGTCAGTCTTCAGTTTTACAGCAAATGTTCAACAAACTATCCATGTTTCTTCAAATATATGCATTCACTCACAACTGATGCATACAGTTTTGGATCATAACTGGCATTTATACCCACAGTCATATGAAATGCCAACATCGATCCAGTGATGACAGGTGTAAGATCCTGTTTCCAAATCAGGCTAAAGTTATCTCAGTTCCCCCACCTTGCCCCTTTGTTTCTTACCTGAACCCTGTCCCTGTCGATTAAAGAGCAAAACCAAACAACAAAAGCTTTCACTAACTCTACTAATTCAGTACAAAATTAAAAGGTGATATTAAGATCATAGATACCATAAGCCCTTGTTGCTTTATATTTGGAAATGTTTTAAGGACCCTCCTCACAGTGCTGTAGAAATGTCAAATCAGCAGTGGAATCAAATTTTTTTTCTTGAGTTGAGACAGCTGGATAATTCTGCTTATCTTCTGCTCCCACTCCTAAGGGACGATGAGTATTTCCTCTTGCACGGTAACAAATCCACAACCTGCCTCTCTCACAGTGAAATCAGACAGCATGCCATTGCTACCCTCTGTTTCCAGCCTAGAGGAATCACGACATATGCCAATGCAAACGATAAACCATCCGCTCTTTCGGACACAGCTAATTCCTCCACGATTACATGGAGGACTGCAGCTCGACAAAAATGTGCAGTCATCTGCCTGCTCTCAATCCACTCCCCGGAACAACTGTTCCTCCCTACTTTTCCTGATGCGAGCTGAGCCAGAGCCAAAGACACATAACAAAGCTCGAGACATAAACAATACGGTAAGACCTGTCCTCATTCCAGAAGGCGGACCATGAAAGAAACAAAGAGAGGCACAGGAACCTCTCATAGCTTAGACTAGGACAAGGGAAGGCAATCAAACTCTCATCTTGAGTGCCTCCCTCTACGGTTTAAGATTTCCCAGTTTACTGGACAGCGCCAGAAGAGGGATGGACGGGCCAGGAATGGACGGAAGCAGTCAGCCGTTTGGCATCCTATGGAACAAAAAGGCCATTGAGGAACGGAGCAGTCCATTGCACACAGGAATCCCAATAGAGGTGATGTACATTCTTTGTGGGGGATTTTCAGGCAGAAAGTTAGTCAATTATTCTGCAGCTGCCACAACCCTTGTGCATCTAACAGAGTTATAGAGGCTTTGTATGGATTTCTCGTCTAGCATGTCCAATTCAACAATGGAAAAAACTGGAGCGTTTGTCCCAGTGTTTACGATCGAATGCTGAATTAGTTGGCGGCTGGGAAATCTTTAGGCTACCTCACCCCCTGCTTTTCTCATAGAAGAGCAAACTAATGTTGACATCTCACACCTTATCAGGCCAACTCATTGTGTCCCATATCGCAATCTGCACAGATTCAGACATGAATAAAACAAAAGCCAAGACAGTAAGACGCTCTCCCAGGACGCCTCCGTTGATATATTCTTCAGCTGCTGACATGTAATCCCGACTGCGGCAACCTTCCAAGACGGCACCATTATCAAGAGATGAGGAAGGAGGTAGGCCATTAGGCATGGCCGTGTGTGACAATGGAGCTATGGAAATGGCCATCCATCACACTTACTGGCCTCAGGCTGCCAAGCAGAATCTCACCATTGGCGAGACTACATGCAAAGAATGAAAAGTTATAGTGTTAAGACAGGATATGAAGTCACACTCTGAGAACTATGGACACTATATCTTCCTGGGGCTGACAGCAGATCTATCAAAAAGTAGGGAAGAGAAGGAGAGAGAACAGACATTTTTTCTATCCACTCTGGGATAGCTGAAGGTATGAAATCTCCCACTGACTTGGGGTAGGTAGGGAATTAGTATGGTGCAGAACTGCCACTGAGTCTCTCCTTTCGAGCAGCTCATGTCCTTCCTGATGCTTTACCTGTTAATACTAACTAGTGTAACACAGGATATGTCCAGGGGAGGTGGGGTTTAGTCCTATATCATGGTTAGGCAGCCCTGTTAAGGGGTTAGGGTATCAAGTCATAATGAATCTATTATGCCAAGTACAGGACTGCATGGTTCTAAAAAAATATATGGTTTAAATTAGTTGTGGTTTTCCTACAGTTTGTAATGACTAATTACCTCATTGCACTCCTCGACACTCCTCCTATGATGCATCATCATACATCATACTCAATGTACCACAAGTTTTGTTAGGCGATATACCACGCACAGGTCACCCACTGAAGAGTTTACATGCTGCTGAAGGACGGTTAGAAAAAGCAGGACCCAGAGGTCTATCCGGATGGATGGAACACAAGATTTGGTTGTGTTCTGCGGCTTCTTGTCAAAGACAGTTGAATCATTCAAAGTAGTTCGAATCAAAACCAAAAAGAAGACCCTTCATGAAGACCCTTCATGTGGACTGCTACACAACTAAGGAGGCCGAACTGTAGTCATTTTATATCTAATTTTTCTGTGAAATGTCACTTCTAGTTTTTGTTCCAGGAAAAGGAAAGAAATCATTTGAGGTCTGGGCTGCTGCAGTGTCATTAAACGGTAACCCAGCCTTGCCATTCTTCATGACGGGGCTACAGACCAATGCCCCATAGGAGGGGATTTCTATTCTCCTAACAGTACAGAAAATACCCATAGGACCAATTTTTAAAAATGCCATAAAGTTTAATGGTTGACAAAAATAACATTCCAAAACGGATACAGCACCACAGACACTACTGTAAAGATCAAACGTCCAGAAACATCCGAACACCAGTACATTTCAAAAAGTGAGAGGTGACTGAAATGCTTTGATTTAATAGCAGTGCAACCTACTCCAAAGCCACCGAACATAACTCTTCTTTTAACTTCCAAAAGCCTTTCATCCACTGGCACCACATAAATTCTTCAACAGACTGTTCCCTTAGATGAGGCCTGCCGTCTAAAGATACATTTTAGAAAATATAAGGCAATTTATCATTTTAATTCATTTTAATTCAAAATTCCATGCACATCCTCTGCAGGTAAACCCATTATCATGGGTTATAAATTAATTTTTTTGATAATATTTTCAAAATTGACATCCATAATTCTATGTTCCTCCTCATAAGTGACACTTTGATGGTTTACAGCATGCCCACATGAAAAAATTAAAGACAACAACACTCTGTCTGTCCCTCAGAGCAACCTTCTTTCGTCAGCCGGAAGACCTGCGAGAGGCTTGCGGGGGGTTCGTTGCTGGATGCCAAGCAACCTTGACGATGACATCACCCAGCCCTGTCAGAGATGCTCTTCTTACAGGAGCAAGACCAATCTGATGCCAGGAGAGATGTAATCTTCATAGCCTCCAAAAATGCCTGCACCCGTGAGACAAGCTGCGGCAACACAAGGCTTACTGTCTGCAGTCAGTTTGAGCAAGAGCTGTGTCACCTTGTCACATTGATTTACCGACTTGAAATCTCCAGGGTTTTAGCATATCAAGGAATAATCAAACTACTAAAAGAACTACTTGAGTAACTTCTTTCAGAATCACACCTCATATACATCCTTATGATACGTTTGGATAGGATCTGGCTGCTATTTAAAACGACTGCAAAAGCACAGGCTTTGCTTATGGTCACATTCAGATCTGTAAACCAAAACAGCAGGGGTTGTCTGTGTGTCCTACCTGACGAACTCTGTATGGCTGCTTCCCTAAACATGATAAATCCTCTCAGCTCACAAATCACTTCTTCCCCAGACGCCCTAACCAACGAAAGGGGATGTCACCTGATCAAGAGATTTAATGTCTTGATCCAAGGCTCCTGAACCCATGCCATTCTAATCTGTGAATCGTCCTTGAAAAACATTATACAAGCCCAATAAATTCCACACATGGTGTCTTTCCACTCTCTTAAAGGGTGTATGTACATCACAACAACCTTTTCATTTTGTACCAAAAAAAAGTTTGATTGTTTAAGTTAAATTTGTATATTTTTACAAATTATCTACTGAATCTTTTTTGAAAACAGTACAACTTAAAAACGAAGTGTGAATATGCTTCCAAAAATTATATACTATATATTAAATTTGATGTGGATTTGAAAAGTCCATAATACTATAATGAATGGCAGACATGAAAAAGCAGGAGCAGAGCAAAAAAGGGCTTTATGAGTTGACACTGAATCAAAAAAACAGCTGCCAGAAATTGAACACATGTGGATTTATGTTTTAATGCTCAGATATTTGCGGATTTATAAATCACAAAGGCCTTTATTTAGTTCAATATATTTTAATAAGATGGAACCATGTATGATCTGAGAATTCTGGAGGAGTGCAGTCTATATGTTCAATATTGCAATATAAGAGGCGTGCGTTGATTCCAGCTTTCTGGGACGTTACCCAAAATGACAGGAGGGCAGGCCGCTTTGTGACGGATTTAGGATTTCTTTCTCTCTATTGCAACACACGGACGACCCAGTGGCTCCAGATGAGAAGCAGTCATGCTCTCAGCACCTGGTGGGCCAGAAGGCAGGAGGCCAGATCTGATACATGTCAGCAAACTCTCCCCAATGAATCACATGACCCCGGGGCTTTTGACAGAAACACAAACATATGACATCATTATTCTTTAGTGAAGAGCAGTGGAAAAATGGAAGGACCTTTCTCCAGATAATTCCAAAATAAATGGATGTGTGGTGTAAATTTGTCTGTCTCTGGAGTTTGTAACGCATAAGGAACATTCTGTGCCAAAGGTTGTACAGTTTCCGTTGTCATTTTGACTTAAGTATGGTTTTCATTTGTTTAATTTGTCTACATAATGGAGTAAACTTTCACCAATCCATGTAAATGAAGGATCAAAACTGTAAGCTGTGGCTTTGAGCAAATTTGCGGGTCTCTGGAGGTTCTTGCAAAACACACTGGCATAATCAAGCTTTAAATGGGGCTATTACTATAAGCCTTGTGAGGAGAGAGCCCCTGCACAGTGGAACAGAATGCCCCTGGAGACATCCCACCACAGCCGCCACATATGGGTCCAATCAGGGTCCCCATCCTATATCAGTTACATCATCCTACCATGGGGGGAGGGAGCTAAAGGAAGACGCACATTACACGCTCATAGGAAGTTTACTCACAGGAAAATGTTCTGAGGGCAGAACGAAAAATGATTGGTTCAGAGAGATAACCAATCACATTTTAGAGGAGGCGGGATCAACCAATCAGATGTCTTGGTCCTACCTCCTTGAATTGGCTGCTGTCATGCCTTCTTCCTAGGGGATGCTGACTTCTATAACGAGGACCCTTCTCTCTGCTGCTGACCATATATTACGGTGTCTGTCTGGAGTGTAGGCACTACTGTGTCTCTCAGGAAGATCAACTGCCTTCTGAGGTTGCATGTAACACTCTTTACCTGGTTGGAGCATATTGGCTATCATCTTTCCTGGTGCTTACATGCTCCTACGAGGCTTGATGAACATACTGCCTTGATCTAAAAACGCCTCTGCTCTAGTCTGGTGACTTCGTCCACCACGCTGGCCTTCTGTTTTATCTTGGTAGCTTCCAAGCAGAATGGCTCAGGTATACCCCATTTCATCACTTCTCGGTGTTGCAGTCTGGAGATGACATGGTGAACTTCACCCTGCAGCTCCCATTTGCGACCTGGACGGATGCGGACTTCAGCTCTCCTCGTTAACAAGTTGGTGGACTCGCTCAACTCTAGCTCAAGCCGTACCTTTACCTGCTTGTACCCCAGGCTGGTGGACTTCACAAGGAACTCGAGCATGACCCAGCCAAAAAGGCCTATGTGCATGAAGCTTCCTGAAGTCATCCATGTAGCTCCTCCATGGAGTGAGCACTTTATGCCTCTATGTCTCTCTCCTCCCATTCACACACCTCAATCATCTCTTCAAAGAATCTTGCATACGTATGGTATTGCAGTGCAACTGTAATACAAAGCACAGCAATACATGACAGAATAAAGTAAATGATAGAATGTAGACTCCCCCACCACATGTGTCTCCCCCACCAGAAATGTATGATGCAGACTGAGGCTAGGAAATTGTGATTAGAATTGAAAGTGAAGCTACTTAAGACACTATTTGGCTTTTATCTGACCTGCTTCTCATTGTCGTCATGCAGTTTTTACAAAAGACTGAAGCTGATAAGCAGGTTGATGCAGATTGCATGGAGGATGTTATCATACAGGCTAAAACAGAAACAAAAAACAATACATTAGGTAGTAGTGCATGATATGGAAATTTTGACCAATACAGATAACCGATAATTTATCGTGTAGTATCTCTACAAATCTGACTGACTTCATAGGTACTTGCTGGGGGGGGCGGGGAGGGCAGCAGTGTGAAACTTGCTGGTGCTTATTAGCTAAAAGATGAGACATCTCTTTTTATCCTGTGGAAATGAAGAGATTGATCTGCTGGCTACATTTAATAGTGGATTAAAAACACATTGTGGGCTGTATTAAACAGTGGAGTTGTCACCGATCCCTTTTTTTATTGGACTGTCCCATCATGCAAAATAAAATACTACAGTATGTCCCGTTTTGAGGAAATACAAGATGCGATCGATCCTGTATTTTCAGGGCATGTGATCCATCCTCTCTCCCACCCATAAATATTATCATCCCTTATTTCTGCAGACTGAACATCGTAGCCCTGCTTCTAAGCGGTGAATCAATAAAATCCCTCATCCTCCACTATGGAAAATAGCCGATTGTCCAGTGCAATCCTCTCCATTGTTTTACTAGCTCTGGTGCTGCTAACTGGATATTGATAAAGTTTAAATATCGGATGAGAATTCCGGCCAAGACTGACACATCGGAACGATATTAACATCTTGATTTTTAACAAGTATTGGCCAATACCAATATGTTAACTGATATATCCCACATCTCTAATATTAGGAATAGAATAAGTAATAAGCAAAAACCACAATAAAATCACAGAGCATTGATTCAATAATAAAAATACAAATAAGTGACTAAATTATTATACTACTATTATACTACTAAAATATTATTGCGACTAATGGTTTTCTTAGTGAAAAGAGATTGTTCCTTTCGTTGGGGGACAGTGCATGGCTCAGTGGGCTAAGTCGCTATGTGCCTGTGATCCGAAAGACACCGGATCAAGCCTGGCTTTGGAATGTCCATGGGCTCATGAGCAAGGCAAGAATTAGAATTAAGTGATCATCATTAACACACCACAGCACAACAAAATGTGTCCTCTGTACTTAACCCATTTATGACATAGCAGGGGGCAGCTAATTCAGCACCTGGGGGTGGTATGTTACTCAGGTTAGGGATTTGAACCAGCAATCTTTCAACCACAAGTGCACTTCCATAACCATTAAGCCACCACTGGCCACAAACAGCTCTCTTCCCATTACCTCATGCAGCCTGTCACGCATGTGGAAATGGTCCCACTGTGAAGCAGGCAGCATGTGTGTGCATGTGAAAGGTGCGAGATCAGGCCATGCTTCCTCCATCTCTCCCACCACACTCCCTACCTCCATCTCCCACCACACTCCCTACCTCCA